GGAGAGGGGAATTTTAACTTCTCAAGCCGACTATTTCCAGCACTACTTTCAGATAAAACACTGATAGTATAAAATGGTACTTGGAGAGCACATAGCCAACATGCCATAGGTGCTCGATCAGTGCATCATACAGTGAATTGATCATTGATGCAAAACACAAATTCGTTCGACCAGCAGCACTCATCGAGAAATCAGCAAGCTTGTCCAACTACAATACATCACGTTAGCATGAGAAATCGAAAGAAAAATTTAAGAAGTTTCAAAAATATGCCGTTTTCCCAGAAAAAGAAAAAAATGAGGGCTTGAAATAGTTAAAAGGTAAAAAGTGCCTACCTGTAGATCATGCACATCCCTATCAATACAAAACTCAATCAGCTTGTCAATTGCTGATTTTGCTTCGACAACTTTTGCATCTCTACAGGACACCACTTGAGTTGATGTATTGCGTAGAGCAAACATCGATAAGCGCATCAAAATGCTTATGGCCTGCAAAATAATCAAAATTAATAATTACCCGAAAAAATTCTGGCGGGACCACACGAGGGTACTACGCATAATCGGGAGCGGATTGATCTCAGTGAGACTGAAGTAGATGGAGAATAGCCTCTTAAAATTACAGTATTCTAGCTTTTCAAATTCTCGAGTTAGTGACTTTCCCGAAAAAATTTTGACGGGCCCGCACGTGAGTAGCAGGCGCACCCGGGGGCTGAGTTTGAGCTCATTAGTACCTGGGTGGGCAGGGAACGTCCCCTTAAAATTTCAGCTTTCCAGCTTCTCTGGTTACCGAGTTTGCAGCTTGCCCGTAAAAAAACTTTGGCGGGCCCGTACGCGAGAACCACGCGGGTAAGAGCGCCCATTTTGGAGACAGGGGCCCGTACATGCATGTAGATTAAGTTCCCAAAATTTCAGCCCCGTAGCTTTTGTTGGTCTTGAGATGAAAAATCGGTACAGAGGGCCAGCGCACACGCAGACAATCTCTCGTCAATATGCGTTTTTCGCATCGCATAGCCGCAAAAACCGCATAAAAATCAAAACTCCTTCGTATTCGCCTTTTATTCTGAACACAAATACCGGGAAATGACCCTATAATACGAGTGGGAGAGCCGCCAATGACCCCCTTTTTCGAAGACTGCTTAGAAGTAAGCCAGTGACGGCTTGACACAGTGGCATATGCCAGTACCAATTTACCAAAAAAAGTCGCAAAGGGCTTGATCGTCCAAGTAATAAAATTTGATCTTAAAACAAAAGAAAAGCCACTTGCTGCAGCAAAAATCGCTTCATCATCATTCGCGGGAAGAAGCAGATGCTGTATGCTTCAAAAAGCATAAAAAGGAAAGGCCTAACGATCGAAATTTTAGTAAAATTTTTAAATTTGAAAAAGAATGATTTAGATCTGAAAGCTCAAAACTCAAGTCTCAATACTTTAAAATTTGGAACTTCATATTTTG